TTTCACATCTAAAATCACATTCAGATCAGAACACATTTTAGTTTTAGCTACATTGTAGAAAATGGGGGGATATAATACATTCTATGTAACACTTGTTTTTGTTGCAGTTGATTCGTGCCTGGTTTTAGATTATTCTTTTGTCATATTTAATTTTGGTACTACACTTTACTTTGTTCAACTTATTCATTTACCATTATTGTTTTGGTTTATTTTGTATCTTATATAATTGATATTATTTGTATTGTCATAGTATTACGTATATTTTCTATTTTGTATTATTCATATCAGTTTTTTGTTAATCATCCTTGGCTCCGTTTATCACTTCTGTATCTGTACCTGTTGTGTTTATTTCCTTGTTCTTTTCTGTATGTACGCATATGTATTGTTTACTGTAATGACTGATTTTTAACGATACTGATATGTTCACGGTTTTCACGGTCACTTCTGTACCGTGAACTCATGAAACCGCTAACACTCCTTCGCCCCGAACAGCAATAATTATTTACGTCTTATGTTTTTCATGTAACGATGTTACGTATATTTGATAACAAATGCGCTACTGTTAGCCTGACTATCGCGCTCCTGGCGGCCGGCCGCCCCGAAGTTGCCGCGCCCCCTTTGGGTGGGGGTCATTAACGCTACTGATGAGTTTCAAAATTATTATAATGCTATAACTGACATTAGAAATCATATTATGAGCCACCGAATCGCGTGTCAAGCCGTGTTCAACTGCGTACAAAAATCTTAGCATTACACAACATGGCACGGCTGTGCATGAGCCATGATGAGGTCGCTTTAATATCCCGATGAAATGCGGCCACATCCACGAATTATTATTTGATCAAAACCTGAATTGCTGTTACTGGGTTCTCTTTAGCGGGAGTTGTTTATTGTTTTGATTGGTATAACGCAGGGTAAATACGCTAGAAATTTAGCGTGGGTACGAGTACAAGAAAACCCACGCCGAGGTCCGTACTTCTGGGTAAAGTGCACACTCGGTTGGGTTAAGGCGGCCTAGGCTGATATTCATGTTCGAGTTCGGACGTGTATCTGCACGATTGCCACATACATGTTTCGAACCCGAATCATGTTCCACCATGTTCGATATGACGTCATTCGAATAGAACGCGTGTTCGAATTCGGGGTTACCGGCGGTCATTTGTATGTTTTCCCTGTAAACCCGCGTTGTTACGCATTTTATTCTCGGAGTATGACTTAAACGGCTTTACGCCCAGCTGAAAACAACATAATTCATCTTTAGAGTAATCCATGTTTACGTATTATCACTTTTTTATCAAAATTATCCGAGGCTATTTTGCATATTAGTCGAAATTTTTTAACTGTGGCGATTTTTTAACGAAAAATGACAGAAAAATAGCTGTTTCTGTCGTTTTTGGCCCAAAAAAACAGTGTAACTGTCATTTAAAACAAAATAGCCTTGGACAAAAATAATAAATAGGGGGTTGGCTTTCTACTTGTAAAATATCATGATGAAAGGTGTTGTTACCGCTTGGGCGTAAAGCCATGAAGTAAACAGCTTTTTTTTAACCAAAATGTTGATTTTTAACCCAAAAATTCAGAAGTAGTAAAAACAAAATAACCTTTACTCAATGTGTTTCAAGTACTACTAGAACTGTGTGAAGTTAAGTTGTGGTGCGACCAAGCTATCAAAAGTTACAGCCATATGTATGAAATACTAATCATAGTTGGCCATAGGCTGCCTTAACCCAACCGAGCACCAAAAGCACGTCAAAAACGCCAAAAATCCGCATAGAAATATATATTTTCCCGAAAGATTCTCGGAGCTCTGCATTTCTTTTATAGAATATCGATGTGAGGTTGTTGAAAAGAGCATTTTAGCGCTTATATCCAGACAAAGAAAAGTTGTTTACACGCGCCTCGGCTAGCTCAATTCTACCGCCGGCAGCGCCGGCGGCGGACGCAACAACCAATCAAAGAGGGTACCGGTGTACAATTAGCGCAAAGAAAGGCAAAGTAGAGAAGGGGCAATGGGAGGTGAAGCCAGAGCAATTATCACCCATCCATTGCATATTTATGGCCTTTCCACCCGCATCTTTGCTCATTTCAATGCCATTACAATATTATAATGAGTACTTCGCTGGGGTATGTTGGTCTACTTTTAGACTACTGGAGCAGACGAAACCCCTCCATAAAGAAAAATAGCTGGAGGGTTTTAACTAAATGGCTGTTAATGGTTCCTCATACCTATCTAACCTACAAAGTATGAGCCGATTTGGCTGACCCCCACCTCCCACCTCCGACTGGTTTTCTCGTGCAATGACTTAAAATGCAATAAAAAAAAACAATATTAATACTCACCACTTATTCCAGCTCCAATGACCACCACATCGATGTCAAGAATTCCCTTCTCCATGGCAGCTTCCAAAATGCACAGAGCTACTAGTGGTGCTGGCTATGTTGGGGGTGGTCGTTTCTGG